GAAAACTGCAATCCCAACCAGTGATTAATTCAGACTGCAGTTGATTTAGCATGTGTTAATCCATCACATAACAAAAGCTATATGAGCAAATTACAAAAACTAGAAGAATAAAATACAATGCAAAACAACAAACAGCCCATTCATACAGCATATACAAGAACAGCCATAAAATCTAAAATGCCCGAGAGAAAAGAAGCCCTTTTCATGCACTGAAATATACAAATGCAGATGGCGAGTGAGTTTACCTAAGGGTTAGAGTGACCCTAAATGAAATGCCACAACTGAAAAGACGGCCTCTCATAGGCACCTGCCAAACTCCCTATGGTTGTAGCATCCCTGAAGGGGCTAGGCAGATACATGAGGGAGGAGACACCCCATTAGAACAGGAATGGGCAACATCAGAAGACCAGGGTACCAAAAATGGGTAAACATTTCAATTCCCTCTGCCTTCCCTAAAATCACCACCATATACCTGTATTGGCCACTGAGGGTAACACTGCATGGCTCTGATGAAGTGGGTAGGGTCACCTCTCTGGAAGACATCTGAAAAGCTGTCTGGGAAGGCCAAATGTTTGAACTCATCATGCATCTAGAATGTACATTCTCCCAAATGTACATTCGCCAGAGAATGAGAATGATTTGAGGTGCATGAACTTAAAACTGAGCAGGTGTCAGGCAAGCACGTGCCTGGATAGAAAATGATTAAGCCGTCCTGAGAAATAGTGGGATATAAGCATATTAAGTAAATAAAATAAAACAGAATGCCCACAGCTGCTCTAACTGTGGCTGTAATTCCCAAGCTAGTACAGCAGCATAACTCCATTTATTCAGTAACGTTGCTGCTAGCAGAGCACTTTGATGAGCCTACTAGCTTTTATTTCTCCAAAGATATATTTCATAGTTTTAATATATTTCACTCATGTATAAACATACAAAAGAAATATAGAGCAATTTGCTTTCCGCCAGTCTACAGCTAGACAGCTCTAGAGTGCCATCACCTGCTAAACACCAGCATCAGCATCTCAGAAATAAATGACAGACACCGCCATGACATGCAGGCGTATTTGTGCTCAACAGGATTTGCTCACAGGGAAGTTTGTATGGGTTGCAGTCACAGTCAAGCTAGGCTGATTCAGTACAGACTGCTGCTTTTCCAAATGGCAAATCCATCTTATGCCTCTTGCATGAATGTATATTGAACTAAAATAAGTTAGATTTACATCCCAGTAACTATGTTTAGGATGCAGCAATGAAGATACAACAATAAAAACAATTTGTTAGTTCTTAAAAATTCTAAAGTTGGCTTCATGACATTTTGGAGAGCTTGCGACCAGCTTGGTATGGTTAGTGATATAGATTTTGTCACTCTTGTTCCAAGGTCTAAAACAGGCAATGCCAAATCTTTTATACTACTTCCTAATAGGGAACAGGGAATATACAAATTGTGCTATATAAGGCGGGACATATTTCCAAGTTAGATAACTATAGGACAGGGCCACATGCTCCCAGTTATTAACAATGATCTTGTCTACTCAGCTGGAGGAAAAGTCACATCAATCATGATTAAGAAGCATTTAGCCAATATAAGAAAGTTTGTAGAAGGAATTACAGGGCATGGGTGATGTTTTGGCATCTTTGACAATACCATTTCTGCCTGAAAGATACAAGCAATAGTACATATCTGAAGAACACAGAATCCTGAAACTGAAAAAGGAATAAAAAAGTCTGGTGTATTTCCTGCAACATGTCTTTCCAGACCTGGGAGTTTAAAGACAAAGATAGGCATGCTTTGTACCTATGTGCATGGGATATATGAACTTTTTTGCTAGGTCAGACAGATTGCCATTAAATATTCAAAGTATAAATTTCAAAGAATAGCTCCTAAGAGTTACTCTGCTGCAGCAAAAGCAAAAGTGACCATTTTAGTCATTGGGTCCTCCCCATTCCGGAACAAAACACTGCTGGGTTCAGACAACACATTAAACCATCATAGCTTCTGAATCCAGTACTTTTCCATTGGAGTGGTTTATAAGCCACCCCAGCATGGTTTATATACCACCCCAGTTACCCATAGCTTGTAGGTTTTAACAAGTCCAGCATGGCTTAACGTGTCATCAAGATTCAGACAACTGCTAAGCCATAGTCAAGGAAAGTTAAGGAGTCCCTGGGCCAGGAGCAGAAAAAGGTGTTGCTGGTTGACGTTCCTGGGCTCCTATCAATACCAGAGGGATTGGCATCGGCAATCAGCAGAAGCCCAGCAGAAATTCCTGGGTTCTCTTCAGTGCCTGGGGAGGTGGCATTCAGTGGAAGCAGCAGTTGCTTGTTGAATTCCCTTGTGCGGAAGTGAAGCCAAGGAACTGGATCCCAGCTACTGCCCCTGCAGTAGCAGTGATAGGAAGAAACGAGCTGCTTTGCTTGTCTTCCTTGAGAGCATCCCTTGCCCAATTTCCCCTTCTCTCCAGTAGATCAAATTCCCCTTCTTTTCCCTCCTTCCTCCTAATCATCTGTGAGGCACATGGGGATTGTTTCCCGCAATGCACAAACAGAATACCCTGGACTGGGGACAGTTAACTTTCTTGGAGGCAAACCTCCCAGTCTGAACTGATACTTATGCTACTGCAAGACTTATAGCCATCTGTGGTTTTCAATTTTTACTTGACTTTTTCAGGTTATACATCATCCACAGAGATCAGTTTTCAATTCTTTAATCTCACCTGCCTGCATCAACTTATCTAGCGTGGAATTGAGAAAAGTCCATAGAAATCAGCGGGCAAATCCAAGACTAGAACATGAGAAGGGGCATGATAGATCAGATGAAGGGTTCACCTAGTCCAGCTTTCTGTTTTCATAGGCTCTCACAAGCAGGACATGAGTGAGACATGCCCAAGTTGCCCAGCACTTGGTGTACACAGAGATAATTCCCCTGATACTAAAGGTAGTATATAGTAATCAAGACTATCAAGAAATTGATAGCCATATTCTCTACAAATTTGTTCAATCCCCTTTTAAAGTCATCCAGACTGGTGGCCATCACTACATCTTGTAGAAGTCAATTCTATCGTCTAATGAAGTAAAAAAAGTATTTCCTTTTCTCTGTTCTGAAGCTCCTTCTAATCAGCTTCATGGAATAGTTCCAAGATCTAGAATTATAGCAGAGGAAGAAAAATGTATTCCATTTTCTCCACACCATGCATAAATTTGTACACCTCTATCATGTCTCATTTTACTTGCCTTTTTTCTAAGCCAAAGAATCCCAGATATTGCAACCTTTCCTCAAAGGGAAGTTGTTGTTGTTATCAGTATTACACTGCATGTAATTCCAGCTGTTTTTCCTCTTGTGAAGGCTAGAGAAGACAATGCTAGAAAGGTTGAAGGTAGAAGAAGAGGAAGACCAACTATGAAATTCATTGATTCCATAAAGAAAGTCACAGCCTTGGGTTTACAAGGGCTGAACAGGGCTGTGAAGGTCAAGATATTTTGGAGGACATTCCTCCATAGGGTCAACCTAAGATGGAGAGAACTTGTGACATATAACATAAAATCCCTTTCCACATGTTTATTGAAACTTTCAAAAAATGTCTAAGGGAACAGTGAGACAAGACTTACCTTTGCAGAAGCTATGTTGATGTTTCCTGTAAGTTTGCCCTATTATGTACTTATTAATTTTATCTTTAATAATACTTTCTGCCTACTTACCTAGAACAAACAATAAACTAACCAGGCTGTAGTCTCCCCAATTCCCACCCTCATCCCTTTTAAAAAAAGGATTATACCCTGTCATGATGTCCATTAGCAAAAGATAACAAAAAAAAATAGGACTTCCTGCTCTTCTTGACTCAGTTTTTATTGTGTGAAGGGGGGGGGTGTCTGATTTTTAAACATTTAAAAGAGCAGTTGCTTCTGAATGCAACTGATCTTTGGCTTTGGATTGGAAGTGGATGGCAGAGAGTGGGGAGATTTTAATTTTTTGCTGCACAATTACTTTCCTCTGATACTTTTGGGCTGGAAACTTGAATCCACTCTAGTTTTATTGCTAACCTGAAATATTCACAGCAAACTCTCACTTTGGGCTGTTGGAAGTTGCATCTCCCAGTGAAAGTCCATTCTCCACTCACTACTTTGTTGGGATTGTTGGGATTAGTAAGGCATTAGAAAGAACAAAACCAACAAAGAAAACAAGATCTGAATTAGAAAGAGTACAAACAGCTTCAGCACCCTTGCTGGTACCTTTTGTTTCTGGGTAGGGATGTTATCAGACCTGGGCTACATGAATATTTCTCCATGTATTTCTAGAGAGCCTCCACCTCCACTTCGGACAACAAACTTGTGGCTTGCAGTGCTACTAGGTTCTATTTGGTTATCATTTCTATTTTTATACTGTAGTTGTGAACTTGTAATTCATATATGTATCTTATATTGTTTTATTGTTTGAATCGTTGTGAAAGGCCCAGAAAACTGGCAGTTAGGCAAGATAGCAATGCAAAATCAGATACAAAGGTTCCCTGTCCATCTGATTTAACGGTTTAACTTCAGTTTCTCTAAAAAGCAAAGGAGGCCTGGCAGATCCCACAGGTTGTGGCACTGGGGATTTGATTGCCAATGTGGTGTAGTGCTTAAGGCGTTGGACTGGGGCTGCAGAGATCCGTGATCGAGATCCCGCTCAGTCATGAAGCTCCCCAGCTGACTTTGGGATAGTCGCTCTCAGCCTAACCTACTTCGCAGGACTGTTGTTGCGAGGAATCGAGACGGGAAGAAAGGCAGGATACAAATCCCGAATAAAAATAGGTTTGGGATGGGCCTAAGAAAAGTCCTGACTGTAGATTTCAACCGTCCCCTCTGTAGTGCCATCCCTACCGCTCTTGCCACGTTCTCGCTACTAGCCTGTTTCTCTGAAGGCGCTCTCACGTGATCGCCTGGGAGTGGGAAAGGTGTGGGTGAATGACACATCACGTGATCACTCATGTGACCGCTTGCTCGCTTTCGCTATTCCGGGAAAGGGGCCAGGAGAGCCCGTCAAGATGGCGGTGCTGGACGCGGACGAGGCGGCGGCTTTGCTGGACGAAGGCGCGCCTGCGGAGGAGCATGGCCGTCCCGCGCGGAAGCCGCTGTCGGCGTGCTGCGACCCGGAGCACCTGGCTCATCGGCTGCTGGTGCTGGCGCTCATGTGCTTCCTGGGCTTCGGTGAGCGAGCGCGGAAGGAGCGGATCCCGCCCTGGACTCATTCGCAGCTGTCATAGGCGGACTCGGGAGATAGAGTGGGGAAGCACTGCGCTGTCCTGCCCCCGATAGCTTTGCGGCTGTGTGGCCCGAGGAGGGGGCGGTGCAGACGTGCTTCGGGATTAATTGTCCTGGCTGTTCAGTGGTCGGGGGATTATGCCAGAAAAGATGTGCTCTCCCCTTCTGTGTTTGCTCTCGGTGGTTTCAGGGCTCTATTGAACTCTCTTCAGGCAGTGCTCCAACCAGTGCGATGCTTTTCATTTTCGATGAAGGAAAGATGCGCTCCTATGCAAGTTTAAGCAGAAAAAAGGCCTGCAATTCCGATCATAGAATGCTGCAGGGTGCGCATACAAGTCCTTCAGATTCCATCATTAAGGAGAAGTCAAATGGCAGCCCCAAATGAACTTTAAAAAAACTTTCCAGCTTTTAAATGTATTTGGGTGCAATTATGGACATATAGAGATGGAACAAAGCCTGGGTGGCTGAGCATTTTGGCCCTTTCTTCTGTCTAAACTTGCATGGGATTGTGCCCTAAGCTGTGCTTTTGTGAGGTTTGGGGGTTTATGTATTTCATTTCTACACCATCCCATAGCCAGAGCTCTTTCACACAGTTCTTTCTCTCTGGGGAAGAGGAATTAAGTTGCTGTGAAAGTATTAGAATGGAGAAGCATCAAAATGTGGGTGGGGAGTCAAACCGGGAAGTAAAACTGAATGATGCTGACTTACTGGTTAATGGAATTAGAACTTTTCTTCCTTTCCCTCTTGCAAATCAAGACTTGTACAGCATTTACAAAGGAAGTGGTGCTGTAAAGTGCACCAGTAGGCTGTGGAAAGCTGCCTTATACTATACCAGATCTGTCTGCATGCAGACCTGTCTGGTTCCTTATTAGCTGATGTTACAGTGCGTGGCACCTGCATTCCAGGGTTTTGGTTGCTGTTTATTTTTTTCTTTGCCATACCTGCCTGTCTGGATCTGAGATCCTGGGACCTTCTCATGCTAAACATACGTTCTACCAATGGGCTTCTCCGGTGAGAATCAGTAACTACTCTGTATACATTCATGGATATGGGGAGTGGTTTTCAAGTGAAGTGACTTCTGGTAGGTCTATGCACTTGGTTAGATCCTGTTGTCAACAGGCTACACTGGAAAGAGCTGCTACTGCGGCAAGGTTGTAAGGGTTTGGGTTGATTGGGGAAGGAAAGAGACAGATGGAGCCTATAGATTCTCCTTCTGTCCATCTGACTCTATTTCCTTATGGTCAGATAATGAGACTGGCAGGTGTCTTTCTCTTGCCTATTTTAACTCTCTAGATGTGGTGTTTTTGTAAAATCTGAATTGTTATTAGCGATACTATAAGCATTTTCAGAACACATGTTTGTTTGTTTGTTTTTACAGTTCCTGATGTATTTCTTAATGTTTTTGTGTAGGCAGCTGTTTTTGCTATGACAATCCAGCTGCTCTGCAGACTCAAGTTCAAAGGGTGAGTGAATGCTATCATCTTTTCCCACTAAAGGGATTATCTTTTAATACGATTAACTTTTCAATAACTTGGTTCATAATCAATGATAATCTAGAATATCAGTTATTGACTCCATAGCCATGACTGTGTGCAAACCTGGAACCATGGATTTTAAAGCAAAAACTACCAAGAAAGGGAACCACTGGTTTGTTGTGGTTGTAAATTATGGATTGTTTTAATATGGGTTGTCATTATGCATTAATCCACAACCGTGGCTTATGCATGGATTGTTTTGCCAGTCTACAGAGGTAGAAGGCAAGAGTGGTTAAAAAAAACAAAACCCTGACTGCTCTTGTATGCCTGTACTGTAGCATCGCAAAGGTATTTGGAATACAGGCAAAAGCAGAGAGACACAAGCAACCCAGGAATTGGAAGAGCAACCTGTATTTTGTATGATCACATGACTGCCATCTTCAGAGGCACATATGGTGGTGAGAGAGGGCCTTTTTCATGGTTGCTACCAGGCTGTGGCAGTCCCAAGGTTTGCTCCCTCTCTGCTGGCCTTCTGCGGACAAGCAAATCCCACTTTATTCAAGAAGGTCTTTGGCATGAACATGACTCTGTTGGGTTGGGAGCTGGATTTTTTTTCTGTGTTAAATCTGTGTTAACTGTATTTGTATTGTTTTAATGAACTATAATTGTGTTTGCAAGTACATTGAGTGCCATGTTCTGGTTAGAAAGGTGGGGTAAAAATGAAGTAAATAAATACTGAAACATATTGTATTCTGTGAAGATTTCATCCATGTCTCCTGGGGGTGTTTAAAGCTGATGTTCCCATGTTCAATCTCTCAGAAATTCCTAATGGTTTAATGCGGAAATCAACCTGGCTCTTTACTGACAACTAGGGAAAGACAATCTTGTCCAGGAATCTTCTTTCTGGTCCCAGTGCCATCACTTCAGGGGCAAGCGATACACCTTTGAGAATGTTTGTCTGCTGTTGTAATGAGAGGCATTTCATTGGATGGATGCTTCTGCTTATGGGTTTGATAACTACAGTAGCACTAAAAGACTGTGGTTCTTAGAAGTGTGTGCTCTTCCTTTTCAGGATATGAAAATAAACACAGCTAATTTCATGCAACTGTATGCCTGGTATTCCTGGCCAAATGTGGTTCTCTGTTTCTTTGGAGGCTTTATGATAGACAGAGTATTTGGAATAAGGTAAATTGATCTGTCTTGAAAATAACTTGATTAAATGTTTTACTTGATTAAATGTTTTATTAATGACTGAACAGTTATGAAATCTGCTTGATACTTCCCCTCTTGTCAAGTAATATGTTCTTGTTAATGTCCATTTAGTTGACTTGGAAAATATACTGGGACAAATGGGACCTCTGCAACAAAATCTTGCAATATAGACTGATTCTATCGAGGTTCCAAGCTGCGTTCTGTCCCTGCTGTTTTTATGCCTCTTACCCCAGCAGTCAGACTTTTTTTTTCCCTCAGAGGCGAGGTGAAGTGAATATTCTGGTGTGTCTTAGTTACTTAAAGATCTCAGAATTTCTGCATAGATTTCTCTGGTTAGCCTTTATTCTTGGGACATATAAAAATAGCTTTTCAATGTGAAATAAGTCATGACCTATCCAGTCAATAAGATTATCTCTAACTTATCTGTGCATCTCTTCCTCCTTTTCTAGCTATTTGATTTTCTTCCCCTCCATTCCAGTTTTCCTGGTGTCTTTGGATTCATTATTGCATTGTCATGAAGCACATTTAGTCCTCATTAGACTATTTTGCTTGGTTGTCCCCCTCATTATAATGCTTGCAAAGGTGTTCTGGGTTTTCTACAAATCTCTTCTACAAGTCCCCTTTGTGAATTGATTATATACACAATAGTGCTCAGAACTGAATCAGAAATGCACTATTGGATTTTCAATCTAGTCTGCTTGAATCCAAAGGAGAATTTCATTTTAGTCAATTTTTATAGTGGGTTTTTTGCAAATTGGCTATTCTTTATCATCTTGGCTATTCTTTATTATTGGCTTCAAGTCTAAACTTTCTTGCAGGTTGGGCACAATAATATTCAGCAGTTTCGTCTGTGTTGGACAGGTAAGTGAAGTAGGTTATATATAAGTAGTTAAAGAAACAATCCTGTGAGTTGTGCCTTGGACAATTTTTTGCACCTGAACTCAGAGTTTTATGGACATCCTATGCATGCTGTAATGAGCAGTAGCGTGAATCTTTGCCTACTTGGCCTAACTTCCCACATTTTTTGTGGTACAGCCTTTTTTGCTATCTTGAACATTGGAATACAGAATCTGGTGGCCCCTCAGATGCTGTCTATGAGTTTTAGGGTTGTTTGTACCATGTGCAAACTCCTGAGAACATTCAGATCAATCTGCTTTAATCAAACAACTATCTAAAATACTTGCCTGTGATATGGCTACAATACTTAAATGTGATGCATATTCTTTTGCAGGTGATTTTTGCAGTGGGAGCAATATGTAATACTTTTTGGTTGATGGAATTTGGCAGATTTGTATTTGGGTAAGTTCCTGTTAATTATACGTATAGATTTGCAACCTTCTCTCTTCTTTAAGAAAGCACAATCCAAATGAGGTCCTTATGGTAAAAAAGGAAGTATTGCAGTTCTTTTATATTTCAATTGGAGTAAGCAGTTTTCATTTGATTTTGTAGAGTCTCTCTTAAGGTAAAGCATGCATCCCGACACACTAAAGTCCAAGTCAAGGTTGTGTTGTTTCAAATACTTCTGTTGTGTCTTGGTTCATTTAGGATTGGTGGAGAATCCTTAGCAGTGGCACAAAATACATATGCTGTCAGTTGGTTTAAAGGGAAAGAATTAAACCTTGTGTTTGGACTACAGCTCAGCATGGCTAGAATCGTAAGTCTAGCAATCCACTTTTGTTTTTCATATAACTAGTAGCACAGATGTAGTGGAGATATTTCCCCCTATTTATTCCTGCTGTGCACATTAAAATGGAAAGAACAATTATTAATTAAATGCAACTGATAACTTTCCCTCATAGTTTTCTTTACAACAGCACTGCACTATATTACAAACAGGTGTTTAATAAGGAATAAATCTAACATTTATATGCTGCCTTTAAAGGGTAGAACTCTCATATCTTGAATAAGGTATGTGCTTTAAAGTTCATGCCTAGGTAGGAGTAACTCCACAAAGGAAGCAACAGCTTTGGATTTACAGGAGCTGGGAACAGCTGTCATGGATAGGAATTTTATATAAACTGAATATTAAATGTAAATCTTATTTAGAAGAGATCTTGTGGATCAGTTGTTCATCTATATCAGGAACAGGCAGTGTGTGACACGCAGGCAATATTATGTCCTCAGACATTGCCCTTGGTACCAGCCAAGGTGTCCTACTCTCCTGCTTATAGAAACATGGTTATTTTGTTTTAATGACAGCTGAGATCACTTTAGAGCAAATTGAGGGCCTCAAAGTGCTTCAGTCTTTTCCCACGAATGAGATCTGGTCCATGCTTGGGACTCAGAGGTGGTACTAAGACACGAAGATGCCAGGTGGCTAGAGGCAGATGTTCTCATCTGCATCATGTCTAACCACCAAAACGTGGTACCCAGGATAGTTTGTTAAATTTCCAAATAAGCCTAGGAGCCCCAACAGGTTGCTTACCCCATTCTATTGAAAATATATTGTTACAATTTTAGATAATCTCTCTTCCTAGGGGAGCACTGTGAATATGAATATTATGGGATGGGTGTACTCCAGAGTTCAAGATCTTCTTGGTTCGGCAGGTTACACCACTCTTGGTATAGCACTGTTGATAGGTCAGTAAATGCTTTCACAATTAACATTACATGAATATTTTAGGATTTCTTATGACATTGGAAGGTTATGGTGAGAGGTTCAGTCTCTAGCTCTGTTGGAACTCAAACTGTAGCTGAATGATGTGGGAAAGCAAAGTGGAGACTTTTACTTGAGACTTCATTCTTGTCACTGATTTGCTGTGATTCACTGTGGACTTATATTGTTGCTATCAGAAGAGTTGCCACCTTGGAACTATTTGAATCATTGTTCTTTCAGTGCAAGAATGTACTTTCTCTGTTTGTCCAAGATAACAGGGCAGGGCAAAATATGTCTTAAGAAAAATATTGCATATGCAAATCTGACCACCATGCACAAACTAGGTATCTGACAGTGTCTGACTTGCACATAGTACAAATTGATTGTGGGCTTTCGAATCTTGTGTCATTACTCCACGTGAACCCTGCATGCAGAGCATGCAGTTAAATTGTAGAGCACAGTTCTCGTGTACCAAGGACCCACAATACAACAGCAGGCTCTAATTCTAATTACTGTCACATGCAAAATGTCCAGAAGAACAAATTAGCTGTAGGACAGCGGCATATTTATAGTCTATGCAAATATAACACATGCAATGACCATTCTGAAGTCCGTTTTAACATTAACAAGTCACTGTTAAAACACAAAAACTGAAGCAGGGTAATGCTAAGAGGAGGGACTGTGTCAAACAATATTGTACTATACTCCCGCCCCCCCCCCCCAATATTCCAGTATGGAAATTCTGGAATGGTGACTTAAGTGCAATAATCTTTTATATGCACTTAACTCCAGAGCAGTGCACACTCCATATCTTTCTTAGCTCAGCCTTCGCCAACCTGAACCCCTTGAGATGTTTCGGTCTGCAGCTTCAGTCAGCCTCAGGCACCATGACCTGCGGACAGAGATGATGGGGAGTTGTAGGCCAAAGCATCTGGAGGGATTCAGGTTGGAGACGGCTGCTCTAAGCTGTTTCCATATCCAGCAACTTGCCACTGTGCCAGTTTTGAACAATTAATACATAAACCCAACATTGAATTGCATGACATTTTAGTAAAACTGAACCTCTAATTAGTGCCTCTAATTTGGCAAAAGCCTGCTTTGGTATGCACAATAACACTGAATGATGTCATTGCTCATCCTGAGAATGGATTTATTTCTATGCCACCATTATAATAGAGAGTTGTCACTGTTGTATTCTCTAGCAAAAGACTGATTCACGCTTACATGGATATAGCTCAGTGGCAGAATAGCAGAATTTCTGTACTCTCTTTATTTTCTAAAAAACCATGTTGAAATCCTTCTTGGATGATAGTAAGTGATCAGCAGTTAATGGTATTGGAAGCTGACTGTGTTCCCCATATATGTACTCATATAATACAGTGAATGGGAAATTTGTGAAATTATGAATTAAGTTTTGCTAATGGAATAGCTTTTGCTATTACACAGACCTTTTCCTTCCGCACTTGCAGGTGGTGTGACGTGTATCTTTTCACTAGTGAGTGCTCTTATTCTTGGGTATCTGGATAAAAGAGCAGAGAAGATTCTTTGCAAAGAGCAGAAGAAAACTGGTAAGTGGGTGATAGTTTTCACTAATAGTACCTCTGATTCTGAAAGTGCACACTGAAAGAGAGAGACTTCAAACTATCCGTCATCATCTTTCTTTGCCAGGATACATGTAAAAGTTTCTCATATTTTAGTAGGAAAGCTAATTATATTGAAATTACCTAATCTTGTTTCTCTCATGGTCCTAGAACTGTCCTAGGACTGTTTCCTGTTACATTAGATGAGAAATTGTAGAACCTGCTTCTTTTTAATAAGACATGCTTAGACTGAGCTAGTGACTTCACTTACATGACACTGTGGGTTGACCTCCTTGTTTGTTTTGGGGTGTCTTGTTGTATCGTCCAAGTTTTGTAGGATGGCTTAAGTGTGGGTTGTTAACTCACACAAGCCACCCTGAAAGGCCATGGCTTATTGTTGGGCTGTTCAGGGTGCCATGTTTTCATGATGGCTTGTTGTGATGTGCCAACCTGTGTGTGGTTCTGCACAGCTTGTTAGAAAACCTGTTCACTGTCCTCCTGCAGCTTAGTGATTCATTTGACAGTGAGTGGCTTTATCTCCCTCTGAGTTGGATTAGCATGTATGCATGATTGAGTTACCTCTGTGTAAATGTGTATGGGCTCAATTTGGGATCATGACGTCAGGTTTCTCCTCTGATGATTTCATGATAAAATTCCTCCTCCCCAGTATCAGGGAGATGCGTGAAAAAAGTTGTCTCAGTTTTTTGCTTTTCATTGCTACGCCCCCACTCCTGCCCCACCATTTCAGTAGGAAAACATGAGGGGATAATGCTTAAATTTTCCCAACTGAATTTCCATGGTTCCAAATTAAAACTGCATATGAGGTATGTCACTCATGCATACACGCACATCAGATCCTTCTCTGCAAGGGGCAGGTGAGGAAACTTTTTAAGTGTGAAAGAAAACAGAAAAGTCCCTCAGCCTCATCATCCCAAAAAGTACAGTAAGCCCATCCTTTCCACTCTGAAGAAATGCCAAGCACATGGTACTGTACATGGTTTGCAGGGCAAGAGGACGGGTGGAGAATCGCATCCCTGCAGGAGGTAGAAGCAGAGAAGTTGTGCTTCAAAGGCCCCTGGGATACATGCATGACAACCTGGCAAGGGCTTGATTCCATCAGAATTTTATGTTGTGAGCCGCCCCAAGGCTTCGGCGAATGGGGCGGCATAGAAATGTTTTAAATAAATAAATAAATAAATAAATAAATAAATAAATAAATAAATAATCAGCGTGGCTTTGTGAACAATCGACTAATCTGGCTTGTTTTCATCATGGCCTTTCATGATATGTGAATCAGCCTAATGACTCAGTTCAGACAGTGTAATATTTCACAGTTAACAAACTGTGGATTCAGAAGAGTGTTTTAGCCATGGGTTAAAACTCTGGGTTTTTTGTTCTTCAGCAACCCAGAATTCCAGATTTGGAAATCATGGTAGATGAAATCATGGTAAACAAACGAGGGGCAGAGCATCCCTGAGTTGTTTATAGCAGTGGAAGTTGGCATGCACTCAGGAACTATCTTGTTCACATTTTTCAACAGCATGGTTAACAGACATTGTGACAACTCAGATTTGAACTGTGGATTGTCTTTACATGTGAACCCTAGAGCATAGTTTAACTATGGGATTTTAGCCTTAACTCAGAATTCAGAACCCAACAACAAATGACCTTTCTTCCTGGGTTGTTCATGCTTAATGAGCCATAGTTAAACCATAGTGCAAGGTTTGCATGTAGTAGCAAACAACAGTTCTATAACAACCTGAACTGAGCCCATACTCCTGGTGTTTATGTGCAAGCCAGTTCAATGGGTAATTGACTATATGTGAATTGGCTTACTGATAGGGCTGTTCTTGGGAGTGGGAATCTCTGTATAAAGTTGAACTTTGTGACAATCTTCTCTGAATCAGTCTTTTTAAAAATGTAGCTTGTAGAAACTGATGCTGATGTTTCTCTTTTCTCAAGGTGAAGTGATTAAATTAACTGATGTGAAAGACTTCTCATTGTCCTTATGGCTGATATTTATTATCTGTGTTTGTTACTATGTGGCCATCTTCCCTTTCATTGGACTTGGAAAGTAAGTGCATGTTTAATAGAGTTGTCACTTTATATCAAAATATTTGATTCACCTGCTGTTTGGCAAAATGTTCTCCATTGTCCATTATGCAAGCAAGTTTGTCAGTTGGCATGGATACAGTAAAGAATCGTTGCATGGAGAAAGTGTAAAGCATCTTTCTCCAACCTGCTGATTCTCCCCGATGGATACCATAGCCTTAGGCGGTACATGCGACATTCAGAACTCCATTATTGCTTTGAAGCCTGCAGGATCTCCCTTATTTTGGACTGCAGTGCCCATTGTAGTGTGATGATGGCTGTGGAACATGGTACTCCACCATTTTAGTAAGTTATGTCATGACTTGGTTTCTAAAGCAGTAGATGCTCGCAGGACACCTTTTAACAGAAAAAAAATCCCACAATTGCAAAATGCCCCAGTTAGCCATGCATGTTGGGAGTTGTTGGACTCTCTCTCACTTTTGGTCTAAATATGCAGAGGACTGTGTCCTTAAGTACAGTGCTCTGTGGCATGCTGACATCCTTATTGCTTTCTGAAATGGTTCATCCCATTAATCAGTACCATGATAGCTGAATATTGCTGGACTTCAGGATATGCCCTAATACAAGTTCATAAGAAGCAATGTAGGTCAAGTTAGTGACTACCTAACTATATGACTGTGCAGGTACCTTTTTAAGGTAAGTTTTCTAATATGTCTCCTGGGGTGTGTTCTTACATTTGTGTACTCTTGCTATGAAAACCTTGAGTTGCCTATGTTTGCTCTTATTGCATCATAGATTTAGCCAACCATAAGTTGGGAATGGCTTTCCAAATCATGGCATTTAAACAAATGATTTCAGACTGTATTTCTGCCTAGCAACAGCCCTAGAGCGGTCCCTGTGCTGTGAATCTTACAGAGCTTTTGCCCAAAGAGAAGTCTGGCAGTGTCTGAATGCTATGTGATCAAGCAAAACTAAAATACATGCAGAGCTCAGTTCTGTAACTGGCATTAATTTTGCTGATGCGCGCTTTTAGTGGCAGCTCCCCTCCAACAGACTCAGAGGTCATCTTACCAAGACTGTGTAATCAGGGTACAGAGTTTGTTGTATAGCTGTTACTATTACCAAGATCCACATTTTCTCCAGGCAATGTTTGACACTTTGGGGTTAAGCTTGTGAAGACTAAAAGATGCGATCCATCTTGCCAGAATTTGTATCCTGTCTTCCCCCTGCCCCACCAACACATACTTCTGTGCCTCTTGACTCTGTAAGAGGTCAAAATGATACCCTGGTTTGCCTGACCAGAGTATCTTTTTCTACCAGAGCTCTCTGCATATCCAGCTACATTGCAATCACATCCTAATTACTTTCTTGCTTCCTTCTCTGGAGGTCATTAGCCTGTGTTAGTTGTATACAGTACAGAATGGATTCTTCTTGCACCTTACTTTAATTGGCAGTCTTCTTCAATAGCGTCTCATTGAACTTTCCCTCTATTATGAGCTAATGACAGGCTAGTACTATTATTGTCAAAGACTAGTTGTTCTATTTTTATTTTTGAAGTAATTCTAAGCTGGTATTGGATTATAAAACTTCATGTATATTTTTGACAGGGTTTTCTTCATTGAGAAATTCAAGTTTTCTTCTCAAGAAGCAAGTGCAATCAACAGGTAAGCATTGCAGCTCTTTGTGTTTTGTCTTGGCCCTTGACCATGATGTCTTCCTGAGAATAATGTGCCTGAAATATGCACCAAATAGAAGAACTATTCCAAAGGGAACTTTCAAACACTCTTTGAGACACATTTATGCAGTGTGTTAGATACTTGCAGCCTCTTTTTTGTAACCTTCATCCTCTCGCCTTTCTTTAAGAAGGTAGACCTCTAGCTGAGCCACCCTCAGACTGGCGCCTTCCATAGCTTTTGGGACTGCAACTCTCATAATTCTCAACTAGTACACTAATTGCTGGGAATTGATGTCCAAATCTGGAAGGCAAACATGTTGGAGTGTTCTAGTTCTAGCTTCCTTGTAGACTCCTAGACTGGGATCCAAAGAAACACACGATGGCTCCGCATGTGTGAAGAGGGATTGGGCTTGTTTCTTGAATAGTAGCTGCTGGTTCCACATGTGGTACTATTTTGAAATCCAGGGAGCTGATCTCTCAAAACCAGTCTGGTGTGGAAGTGGGCTTTGTGGTTCAGAGGTGGTGGAATGTGGGGTAGATTAAAATCCAGCCGGGGCCATACACAGAGTCCGTCTTCAAAGAGGAGTCACATGTCAATCCCAAGTACACTTTAAAGCTGTTTCCCTGTTTTTAAGCCTCTTGGGGCACAATCATATGCATGTTTGCCAGAGTAAAGTTCCTGGCTTTTAGCTGGATTCAGCTGGGAGTTATAGGACTTTTCTGTGTAAACATGCATGAGATTGTTCCCTTAAGTCTTTTTTGGTGCTGGAAGTTTTCTTATAGAGGATAAGCAATGTTGGAGCCCCGTGAGTGTGTTACAGTCTCTGACCACTGCTTAATACCATAGATTCAAAAAAAAGGTATGCTGATTATATTAGTTGCATATGGTACAACCTTTCAGATTAACTACTGCCTTCTGGTGAATGGCCTGTTTGTGGTGTGATCTTCATTCAGAAAGACCACATATAATCCTGAGCTGCTTCTGCATTATTCTGCCAAGACTACATCTTTAACTACCTGAAAATGGTGGCTATATTTCAAAGTTACCATTGCTAGAATCCAGCCATCACTGTAACATGCACTTGCTTTGTCAGTTGTGGATTTTTAGACCTGGGTTTCTGAGTATGATTTGCATGATTATTCAAAGGTAACAAAAGTAAGGGAAAGCCTCCTCTAAGAGCTATTTATTTATTTATCAATTTATATCCTGCCTTTTTCCTACAAAGGGCTCAAGGCAGCTTACATTCTCCTCCTCCTCCATCTTATCCCCACAACCACAACCCTGTGAGGTAGGTTGGGCTGAGAGTCTGTGACTGGCCCAAAGTTGGCTCCATGGCTGATTGGGGTCAAGAACCCAGATCGTCTGAGTCCCAGTCCCATGCTCTTAACCACTACACCACACTGGCTCTCACTTATCCAGCTACAGCATCATCAGTTGAATGGCAAGGGGATGCAATGATTATACCTGCTATCATAATGTATAGCATCTGAGATCAAGAATAATTAAAGAACTGAATTTGATGGGGGTAGGCCAAGCAAAGAAGTTAAGTTGGTTCATGATGGGAAACCTAAAGCAGTTAACCTCATTGTATCTTGATTGCTCAGCTATTTTGAAATAACTGTTTTATTTGTATTCTTCCAGCATTGTGTACGTCATATCAGCACCCATGTCCCCTGTCTTTGGATTGCTAGTAGACAAAGTTGGAAGGAATATTACCTGGGTTCTATGTGCTGTGGTGACCACTCTCGTTTCTCACAACATGCTGGCCTTTACTTACTGGAACCCTTGGGTTGCCATGGTAGGTCTTTCCCCCCAGCTTTATTTCCCCCAGTGCATATTCAGTTAATTGTCTCACACAATAGGCTTTGTTTTATGGCGTAAAGCTTTTTGTATGAATGAGGTTGAGAAGCAGAATAATGGATGCGTACATAGAACCCCGGTTTCTGTCCTTTCCGATATCCAGCAGATATCCGGAAACAAGGTCTAAAGAGGGTTTCCCCCTATAGACTAGGCTACTTCGGGTCATTGATGTCAGTGTGAATAGCAGGGCTTCTCGGCTGGGCGTCTGTACTTGGTGTTCTCTTATCTCAGTTAACCAGCCGGTTTACATGTGTGCGTTTTATTTCAATATCAGAACAAACAAGTCAGAATGGCTTCTTATCATTTGGCAACTGAGTAGAAATGTGACAAAGTGTGTTAATCCCATATGATGTGCTCTCTCTCGGGCTGTTGGCAAGTAATACTTAACTGTGTTTTATTTTAAATCTGTTTTCCACAGTCTTTGCTGGGAGTATCGTATTCTTTGCTTGCCTGTGCCTTATGGCCCATGGTAGCTTTTGTTGTCCCTGAACACCAGCTGGGAACTGCTTATGGCTTGTAAGTAACTGATATTTGTATCTTGGTGCTTTGTGGTGTGCATTTGTCTTTACATGGCAGGATTACTAGCACCATCACTGCTCACGGTTTCCTTGTTGTTCTTTTAAAAATGTTTCTTATCCTTTGGTTGCAAGAGATTAATTTAGCTACATTTCTTTAAAAAAAATAAATCTCATTTTGTTTCATCTAGGGGACTACACTGTGCATGTTTAGACAGAAAAAAGGCCTACATCTTCCAGCATGCCTTAGCCTGCCATGCTGGAACTTGCAGGACCTTATTTCTTGAACATACATAAGATTGCACCTTAAATGAGGAGAGTCTTGATGTACAATATGCTCAAGATAGATGACCTCTTGACCTGTATGAACAATCCACCCATAAGTGAAATCTAAAAAACATTTTCCCTTACATGGGTTACACTATTTGCACTATCCTCCACCTTTTTAGTGATGCTCCCAAAAATAATTTCAATCATTGAAATCAGTCATTTCAATGATTTTTAATCTTGAACTCTCCTGGGTCCTAAAGGCATTGGACATTGGGCAAAAGGCATTAGACTCTAGCGTCAAACAAGCATTATGTATTTCAGAGGTTTTATTTGTTTATACAACTCTTTTTTCCATAACTTTCATTACTCCTTGCCCTCCAAAATGTCTTTTCCTGGACAGCTGAGCTGAGCTGTTGTAAACCCAAGGTTGCAGCTTCCCTTATGGAATCAATCCATCTCTTATTTGGTCTGCCTTCAACTTTGCTTAGTCTGATCATCTTGTCCAGTGATCATAGACTATACTAAAGGAACAAGCTGCTGTGAAGATTAGCTCCAGATGATCATGGCTTTTCCAGACCTCTGGCCTATGGATTAAAGGAACCATATGTGCATCACACAAACATGTGTGCAGATATGTCAGTTCCTAAGCAAGAGAAGGACAGTGGCTCTGTGGCAGAGCACATGCAGAAGGTCACTGGCTCAGTCCTCAGCATCCCCAGGCAGGATTAGAAAAATTTCTGCTGAAAACCTTGCAGAACTACTGCCAGTTCATGGTGACAGTACTGGGCTAGATAGATGGGCTAGACTGGTGGTCTGACTCAGCATATGGCAGCTTCCTACATTCCTAAGTTACATTCCTCTTCTCTGCATCTATTGCCACCATGCCTCCCGGCCCATCACAAAAGGCTTTTAACCCAGCCCTGGCACAGACATAGCAGAGAGTATGTTGCCTGGCCCATGTACCTCTCACTCCTGCTCTTTATGTACCTTCTTGAGAGTGATTCTTGCTACCCTTGTGCTGATAATTGGGCTGTAAATCACTCTGCTTCAAAATACTATTGCCTGGAAGGTCTGTGATGGCCTTTCTGTCTTTAAAGGTAGAGCTTCTCTTTATTTGTTTATTCCTATTTGATAAATGAGTTGAGCTTTATAACCAAATGATCCTAATGTTTTTCAGCATGCAGTCAATCCAGAACTTGGGTCTAGGAGTCATTTCTATTGCAGCTGGTATGATACTGGATTCCCGAGGATACCTAATTCTAGAAATCTTCTTCAGTGCTTGTGTGTGTTGTAAGTATCTGTGCCTTACATGGGCATTTTTCTAACGAGACAAATTCTGGGCTCAGAGAAAAGAGTACTCACATGCAAGGCCTGAGTATGCATTGGGTGCATGTTTTAGTTAAACAGTGGATTGCTGAAATGAGGGTAATCGTTTTGTCTGAATCCAGCCACACTAACAGACCATGGTTTATTAAGTATGAGCAACCCCTGTAAGAAACAGAGGCTTTGCACATTCTGGTATCCTTTGCTTGCATGAAGAGAGTTTTCATATAAGATAAATATCTTATTTCAAACTCTGTGACTTGTTTTTTATCTATTTCCAATAAGATGTTTCTTTTATGCCCAAATGTTCTGTAACTCCATACCTTTGCCTTTTAGTGTCACTCATAGCTGTAGTCATGCTGTACTTTGTGAATTTGCTCAGAGGTAAGCATCTTCATTTTTTACTCCCTTTAGTTGACATGTCAGTTTGAGCTAGTGATATGTACAGATGATAATCTCAGTTTGAACCAACATCACACAAGTGGCAAAACTTGCATCCAGAATTAACTTTGCACTTCTTAATAGTCTAATTGTAAATCCCCTTTGTTACTCTTATCTATTCTTAGTTTCATGTTGTTAGACTGTACACTGCATCCAATACATTTATTTAAAATGTATAGATAACTATGTTCTCCACTACCAAATGGCTCCTGAAATGGTGTTCACTCATCTTAAAGTCTATAAATCTGCAAAGGTTTAGTAGGTAAAAACTTCATAATAAGGTGGGGTTAAAAACCAGCATAGCTAAATTGAAAGTGAGCAAAGAATCAGAAGAAACATAGGGACAGAGCGAGTCAGAAGCGGCCTCCCGAGCCATCTAGTCTGACCTCTGGCACCAGCCAGCTCTGCTCTCGACATGCCTACCAATTTTTAAGTACAAAATTAAGTTCGATGCGCTGGCTGTACTGCAGCTGGGAATACAAGAAGCTAGTGCCATGTGGATTGGGCCAGACCCTTATGTCAAGAGAAGTAGCCATAGACGGCTCATGCACCGTCCTCTGTACTTCTGATCAGAAGTAAATCTCATTGGATTTAATGTAGGAGGGTACAGCATTGCAGCATCAGCTAGTGAGAGACATTCAGTTAGTGGTTGCTACTTTGGCATCCAGCGGTACATGGGAGCACACTTGGGGTTGTAGCCACTGTTTCCACAGCACGAATCCTGATGCTGTAGTGCTGACAGCACCATTAGAACTTGCAAGGCAAAGGGGACAAGCAGCGACTTGCCCCCAGAATTCAGTGCTGATGCACTGCTGTTTCCCATTAAATGAGTAGTAATAATGATGCTGCACTAGTGTTGTGCTAAAAAGTCAGAACCACTAGTTTGGATTGTGACAGTTTGGATTCTGCCCACTCGCTCCATGTCTTGTGCTTCCTGTGGAGTCTAGCCCCACCCAGGGTAGGCAGAGCATACAGACTTCCAGCCACGTGTTTACCCACCACCATAAACTTTGTCTTTCTAAGAAGTTGCTCTTGTCAAGGTGTGTGTTGGAGCTGGTCAAGAAAGTGCTGAGTAGAATGTTGACATTGATGATATTGTCCCAGGGGATTAGATTAAATTAAAGTTGCAAAGCTTTGCTTCATGTTGAATTATGAAGATACTCACCTTGTGGTTCACATTGAACATCCACCTACTTCTAACAGCTGTTGCCAGCAATGATTGGCTATGTGATTTTAGAAGCTAGTAAGAAGGATGTGAAGGCTTGTGCCTACCTTTGCTGAGCTCCATCATCATTCAGAAGTTTTACTTTATCTGAACCTGGAGGTGCAAAGGACACTTATCCTTTTGCGAAATGGCATTTGGTGAACTAGGCATTACTTGCAAAGTAATATTTCTGGTAGTTGTCTTGACTTCTGAAATGTAGTAGTCAGGATTTATTTTGAAATCTGATTTAATCTAAATTATGAAATACTTTTACACTTCAAAAACTACTTGTAATTCTTAAATTGTATGATTGTGATTAATTATAGATTTGTTAATTCCCAAGAAAAACTGGATTTTCTAAAAGTAACTGATAGGTGGTGCAGAAGAGCTAATTTTAGTAAGCAAAATTTCAGGCTAATGCCAAGGAGTACATGACAAGATACCAGATTGGAGACATTTTGTTACTAATTTCTAAATCATTAAACTTGAATATTGTACATAATACATTATGTTTAACCTTGGCCAAAGGTAGACTGAAAGTAAATCCCCAGTTATATTTGACTTCTGCCCCCAGCATTCTGGACCACTACCCATGCTTGGCAGTCTTCTGGGAGTTAGTCCAAAACACATGGAGAGCCATCTTCTGCCTAACTCTTGCCTAGGCAATAGGAAATATATTGGGTTATGTGCATGTGTGTGTATTCAGTTGTCTACTGGCTTGATTTTCATTACATCCATAGATGTAGTTTCTATTGTTTTGCATTTGTTGTCTTTGTGCTGCTGCTGGCTGACCTAGCACCTAAACAGACTGAGGCCCACACAAGCTTGTGCCAGTCTTTAAAGCGCTCCTTGTAAAATATTTCTGTGATCTATTAAAAAGATGCGTATTTTCTCCACCATAGGAGGTGACCTTAACTGGTCTGCAAAGAAAAGAAATAAACTTCAGAAGCTGGCTCTGGCTGAGTAAGTATGTAGCATGATGTGCTAACCTAGAGCATGGGTTATGTATCACGTAATTGGCGCATCAGTTCCCTTGTTTGCTTCAGCAGTCAAAACTGCATATGGGCTGATTTGCTCACAGTTGCCAGCACCCCTTTCCTTAGCTGTAAATTTGTAATTGAGGAAAAGAGGAATATAGGAACACCAAAATAGGTGGCAACTGCATAGCAAGGTAATCTTCTTGATTTTAATTGTACTGACAGTTTTTAGTAAGCTCCATCATCTTAATGGTTTTCCACATCTCTGGCTGTACCAGGAAGGAGAGTAGGTGGTCACTGTTTAGAAGGCTCCCTTTTAGAGCTCTTCCTGCTGCAGTTACTGTGGTTCCCTGACAGTTCTAAAAAGCCCTGCAGCAGTATTGGCCAACTCAATGGTTGGGAAATAAATGGAAGAGAAATGTGTGCACCCGCAGTAAACAGGGACAGTAGAGGAAGTTAGCATTTCCCCTTTGTTAGAGTAGCTGCAGAATTGGGAAGTGTCAAAAAGGTGGAGGCTACTGAGAACTGTCGGTTCAAATTTAAAACCAAGAGGATTACATTGCCAAGGGGTGATAATGTTCCAACTGTCTTTTAACGCACCTTTTAATGCACCTTCTTTCTCTGCTTTTTGGCTGTTCACATTTTCATTGACAGCTAGACACTTGGTCCCTGGCAACTTGTACAAGTTAGCCTATATAAGTATGTAAAGTGCTTTCTGTTTTAAAGTATAACTTCCTTGTTAAAGGCGAAGTTTAAAGTCTGGCCATGATGAAATTCACAGTTTTGCTTTGGAATGTTGGTTTGTATAAATAAACACTGGAGAAGGGTGTCCGTCTTTACTGTTTGGCACATTTGTTTGTCTTAACATGTCTTCCTATAGCTAACAAGTGCATCCAACATTATTTAGAAAGAAGAAACAATTAATGTACAGCTTGCAGGGGGCTGAATGCCCTGCCCTGCCCTGCCCTGCAGGCAAATTTGGTCTCTCCCTCTCTCCCTCTCTCCCTCTCTCCCTCTCTCTCTCTCTCTCTCTGGGAGGCTCAAAAGAACAAAAACAGAGAAATGAGAGATGGTCCTTCTAAACTTGCAAAAACAAGCAACGGTGGTAGGAAAGGGTTGCTACTTTTGGCAGGCGGCTCCATAGCCATTCTCAGGAACCCATAATAAAATCACTGTACTAGGTTAGGGCAACAAATAATCCATTGTGGACTGAATGTATCACAGATTATTAGTTTGAATTTTTGTGAAAATTATGCCACCCTGCAGCAACTGTGCCAGATTCTGACAGCACAGCAACCCACTGCAGCTGTTACCCATGCTGGGTTGTGTCATGTGAACCAGGCCAGTGACTCAAGGCCCTTCCCAGCTTGAGAAGTTTAACATTTATTAGCTTAATTAGTCCTGTGTGTAGACCAGAGTATTCTTCAGAAAGAAAGAAGAGAGAAGGAAGAGGGTCGAGCAGCTCAAAGCCAGAGCCCTGCTTCTCTCCAGCCAGCTGCTAAAACTGTTTTGGGGTGGGGAAGAGGGGGAAAAGAGGATGTTACGGCCCAGTAAGCATGAGGAACTGGGGAGAGCAATGGGGAGTGTGTTTGAGGCACAGTTGGGAGGCGTTGTGGAAGTTTCCAGAGGGGGCCGTGCTGCATTGGGTGATGGAGAACATGTGCATGTGAGTAGACGTGTCTGCAGAAAAGTGGTGTATACGTATACTCAACAAATACATAAATGTTGTGTAGTGCTGTGATATCCAGTGAAAAATGAAAAAGATGAATAACTGGTGTATGAGTGTCTGGTGTGCTGGCTTTGTGGGGTCTGAGTCACTTTGGGTTGGTGGGTGAACCTGCTTGAAAGATGTGTGTGTGTGTGTGTGTGTGTGTGTGTACGCTTTGGAGCTCAGCCCCCATTTCTCACATGTTCAGGTTCTTGGGCGGGTTGTGTACTCTAGCAATGCTAATTTGCTTTTCTGTGAAATGTGTGTTTCGTGCATGGCCTTGCCCACCACTTTAACCATTTTGTGTTGGCATCCATGACGCTTCCACAAGATTTCAAATGTACTCTCAGCCTGTTAAGAATGAATACTGTTAAGACTCACCTGGATACCCACTGAATTGCTTGTAAACTGATCAGTTTCTTCATAGATTCACATATAAACCTATGCCCTGATATGGTAACATTCAGTGACTTTCAGTGTTCTTCAAGGAAGCCTTTCTCAGAAATGTTTCATCAGCTGTCCTGGTCCTCACCATTGTTCCACATGAACCGTAACAGCAGTCCATAATATCAGACATGTATGGCAGAATTTGCAGATGAGGCTAAGCTCTCTTTCAAGGAAACCTCTCAGATATTGAAGATATCCTGAAAAATTTCTGAGGAAGTCTGGGGGTCTTCAGAACAGTAAGAAAATCTGAGAAATCAAGCTGACATAAAGGTTACTTCAAATGAGACAAGATTCCCATACAGAAAACACTTTCATAAAGGACATAATCCAGATGTAACTAAATATACCTTGAGAGGAAATATTTTCAGCTGGGATGGCTTAACCCTGAATCACCCAGAGCAGCAACAGTCCTATGACTCTTTTTACATGTATCCCCATGTGATTCCTTCTCAAAGCAATGGCAGCCATGTGCCCCATTTGTTGCAAACGTTTCTTTTGGGTGCATGGGGTTGTGGAAGGCACACTTTGGTGGAAACAGCCAAATGCATGTGTTTGGCTTCACTGCAGTGAAATGTCTTGCCACATGGAGCACTCTCTCCTACTCTGTATAAAAACAAGCTTTGGTGCACTTAAATATATTATTATTATTATTATTATTATTATTATTATTATTATTATTATTATTATAACATTTCTACAATTATCATTTGTCTGCTGAAGTCATTTTATAACTCCAAAATGTAGAGGAAAGGGGAACCATGTAACATTTGACATTTCCAAGCAATGGGAAATCAGTCTTTTATTATTTTTTTACAAGTCAAATCTTGCAAACAGACACATAGAATTCAGGTTAGTTCAAGTCATTTCAAGTCACTAGTCATTTCCTTAGAGACTGACATGAAGTGCAATCTCATGTCTACTCAGACTCAAGTTCCATTGAGTTCAATGGACCTTGCTTGGTAAGTGTATATAAGATTGCAGCCTTAAACTCTGTCCTAAATATACCCTTCTTGAAGGCTGTGCACTATTTATATTTTTGGGGTTTTTATACTTTCTGATGAACTTCTGGGAAATCCTTATCTTGCTTTGAAAATGTGTTGAATAAAATGCATATTTGCTTTCTTGCCCGAACTTCTTTCCCTGGACTTGTTGGCAGTGTAAGCAGAGGCTCTGCTGAGTGGAATTCTAGCTTTCTGTTCAGTGCTATACAGGCATAATAGTGCGTACATGCAAATGTTTCTTTGAATGTGTAATAAGGAGTTACCATCAGCAGGGGGTGGTGCTGCACCCCCTCACGATGGCTCTAAAGCGAAAGCCACTGGCCATGTCTCTCACACAGGCGCCCCTGAAAGGAACTGTGTGTGTACAACCACGCAGTTCATTTCAGCATTTATTTCTGAGGGCTTCCCATTAATTTCAGTGGACTGTGGTATGGGAAAGGTTCCTCGTGCATTATGCCTTATGCCAGAATGAACATCCCAGTCTAAAAGCAGTGTCTTGTTTACATCTGAAGCTTAAATGCTGCTTTCTCAATTTAGCACATCACCTCTGTGATACTGCTTAGCATGCCCTTAGTATCCCAGTAATTGCTCAGTACGGCACTGTGACATTTCTGAGAAGCAGAAAAGAACTTGTGAACAACCTGTTAGAATAACCTATCACTACAATATTTTTTACAGAAAAGAAACCTGAATAGGAAATATCTTCCAGAAGTGGGGAGCACTTGATCAACATGTCCAGTTGAAGAATGTTCTGTGTCTTCCCCAAGTGATAAGCAGCAAGCTGTTCAAAGTAGTTGATTTGGAAAACGTAGGATCAGGCCTTGAACTTCTTAAATGACTCTAACTTATATCCATAGTCAAACCCTCATCTTTATCAAAGCATTTGGACTGCAATCTGAACAAAGCTGTGGTGTTTGTGTATCTACACATCAATGAAGAGTTTATTCCGATTGAACTGAAGTCAGCTTCTTCAACTTGTTGGTGCAGATCTTTTTTGGTTATGGGCAGCTCATTAATCTGTTTCATCTTTCTGTTGTAGAAAAATGGTGCTTCACCTGACCATAACTGTATAACTTATCTTGTGTTCAGAAGGGACAGCTGTTTTACAAAATGTGGTGTTATTGTTGCTTAGTTTCTCATTGCGAATTATGGCTTCCTAATAAAAACCATGTTATGACTGGGGATCATGAGACTTTAAATGAAATCCTGGTGAGATATCTGGTTGAGTGATTGGGCTACTCCTGTGTAATCACAAGCCATGTCTCTAGGATAGCCAAATTTTTCTAACAGGCTGCTAAGTAGTCTCTTGGGTTAGGGAAGTTTATCTCCCCCCACTGTTTTTTTACTGGAACTGTATTCCAGAGGTCAGACTAGATGGCCTGGGAGGTCTCTTCTGACTTGCTCTGTTTCTATTCTCTTTTAAAGCATACATTTCTGGTTAAAAGCCTAGTTTAAACTTTGTGATAAAACTCGCACCTTACACTAGAATTTTGTCCTTTATGAATAAATCCTGGAGAAGAGTGCTTTTCTTTATTGTTTATCACATTTGTTTGCCTTAATCCACCTTCCTGACAGCTACATTCAGTCAATCTTGATCTAGGAATAACATCCAACAGAGACTCTAGCACATCTTATTATCACATATGTTTTAATAGCATTCCCTTTGTTTTTACAGAGCGAAAAGACGGGAAATGATCAGACGTCAGAATGAAGATGACTTAGCCAAATTACAACCAAACAGTGACTTTAGTTTGAGGAATAGGTATCTCTCCAGATTAGGTGCTCAGGTACTGCTAACCAAAATGCTTCTTTCTAAAAGACTGCAATATGAAAAAGACTTTTTATAGTGGACTTAAATACTCTTAAGCGATTAAAAGCTATAGGCTACTATTCCAGCACATGATTTGCATGCAGAAGTTTCCAGTAAAAAGGTTTTTGGTAGCAGGGACAAAGTCAACATTTGATAGTGCCAGTCAAAGCAGACAGAATTGGACTAGACAGATTAGTGGCCTGATACCATTTGATGCAAAAACTTACGTTCAGAGGTCACTGTAATGTAGCAGTCCACACAGAGTAAAAAGGAAGTATGCCAAAGTTGCATCGTTTTGTTTGAGAAGTGGGCTAGTACCGTTCCCATATCACTCCTGCACTCTTGAATATTGTTGATTTTCCTGATGTACTGATTAGCCTCTGCTGAAAAGTATTATAGCTGAATGGGTCTGAAAGTCTGTTTGTGGCAGATCTGTATTGGCACGTGCAAGGTACAGCTTTTTTATGCAGTAGTTACTTTCTGGCAAATATGCATGTGTGAACCTGTCTGTCATACCTGAACTTAGCTGAAACACTGGTAATATTTGTTCATGACATGCTTTGCCTTTTCTTACTTTTGCAGCTGCCAGACAACTGTGTTTCCCACTTACCTGCACTGGCACACAGAAGTGTGCTGAAATAGCAAACTTGTGTCAAAGCGTGGACTTGCAATGTGTGGAATATTATGCAACACAGGACCTCAATTGTCCATAGCAGAGAGCGGCATTATAGAATGAGAATGGAACAATATTCAAAAGACTTCTGCCAACCAAAGCAGTAGCTGGTCTCTTGAAAAGTTTTAAGATGCTACATTGAGCTCTGTGCCAAAGTGGGTGGGTAGGAATGACTCAGAAGATGCCATGGATTTGTGTCTCTGTGCTGCTGTTGCAGCCTTCTGCTTTCTTCAAAATCCATATCTGTTTATAATTATTGGCAGTTTGGATTTGGAGTAGAATTATATGAATCAATTTAAATTTACAACATTAGCTGTGGGTTGATCTAGGCATCAATATAACAGTGCTCTAATCTGTGGACAACTTTATTCTTTTGTTAGATTTCTTTCCATGGAAGAAAGGGAAGCAACAGTGCTCAGTCCATCAGACTGTTAATTTCTGTGAAATTTTTACTTTTATCAAAAACTATTGGAACTTTTAAACGCTTAAAAAGTAGCTGTCTTGAAAATAGCATTAAAGTATTTTCATTTTTTGTCTTGATGAAAAGCAGAAGGTTGACATTTCCTATGGAAATAGCTCAGTATGTATTTTTTTTATTAAAGCAAATGTAGCGATTTTATGAAAACTAAAGCTAACTAGATCCCATTCATTGCAACAAGAAATACTGATATTGCTTTTGTGTCTATAAATGCAATGGATTAAAATTCAATGAGAAAAAGATCTAGGGAGTCTACTTAAGGTTTCATAGCAGCAGCAATTTTTTAATAGAAAGCTGACCTTATTAAACTTGAATCCAAACCTGCCCTTCCACAGCTGGCACATTCTCTCTGTGGAAGGACTGAGATCCAGTGAAAATAGGAGCTTCTTACAGTCTGCCTCCTCATCTCCCATGTGGTTCTGGAGTATTCCCTAAGTCCTTGGAGCAGGTTTTCACTAGGCATACAGCTCCAGAGGAAAGAAGAAACTGGCAAAAAGTATCTCTTCCATTCAGTTTCTTCAGAAAGAGGGTTTGTAAGTGGCACTCCACTTAAATCCTTTCAGGATCCAACCCACAGTGGTACACTATTAATACAGTAATCTGCATTCAGTTCACATTGACTCTTGCTGGTGTTTTTAACTTACATATTTTGAACCAAGATAATGCACAAATACAGTACTGGGGTGGAATCTTCAATTTTTCTGAGAGTTCTAATGCTGCCTAAATTGTGAATAAGCAGCAGTATTCTCAGGGTTTTGAACATGTGTCTCTGTTCAGTGCTCCTCAACAGAGAAGTGTTTGATACCCATATAGGAAGACTGTGTGTGCTAAAGTCAGTTATATACCCCAAACCAATAGAATGCTGTTGGTTACCAGCAAGAATTTCATTGGAAAAGTAAAGTGAAAAATGATAGGGGTGGGCTATCAATTATAAATTGATGGGCTATTCACTTATTTGTAAATGTAATTTTCCCCCCATTCCCATTAATAAAGCCAGAAAAGTTCAGTAAAATGTTGCTTTTTAATACTGATTCTCTCTTATTTATAACTGGTATTGCTCTGGGGAGCTGGGAGATCTAGGTTGTAGATTATGAAGCCTACTGAATGATTTCAGAATAGTCAAGGACTCTCAGTCTGACCTGCCTCGCAGGGTTCTTGTTGTGAAATAAAATGGGGTGGAGCAGAACTATGTAAGCTGCTTTGGATTATTCACAAAGGAAAAAAAGGCAGAGTATACATGTGAAGTAAAGCATTGCAGCATCCTTCATTGCAAGGACCCACTGGTAGCTTCCTGTTACCTCAAATATGGTTCTCTACCCTTCCCCCTTCTCTGCTTGCTTCCTCTCAACAAACCAAGGTGTGTGTTACTCTAACTTGGATTTAGGAGACTTAGTACATCATTAGTTCTCTATATTTCATGAGCATGTTCCCCCCACCACCAATTTTTTTTCTTTTCCAACAGATGAAAACCAAAAGCTTATAAAATGCAGTCCTTTATTGGAGCTTAAGAGGTTTTGCTTAATACGGGGGTGGTTTCTATGAGAGCTGTTAACAAATTGCATAAAACACAGTAATGATCGCTCTGCTCGGTGGTGGTAGCTTCTGCCCATGTGCACAGTTAATTCCAAACTGGATTGGCTCCCTCCTCCCTCCCTTTTCCCCAGAATCCTGACTTTGCCTTCAGGGTCAGTCATACTGCTTGTAGGACAAATGGTGGGAATGCCTGATTTTATGTGATTGGTCTACCTGCTTGGCCTGGCAGTGCCTCACCAGGTCTGGGAATTCACTCTCCTCCTCCTCCCCTTGTTCTTCAGTGTCTTTCACCATGCCCAGTAGAGTTTGATTCTCAGTCACAGCCTGATGAACCTCCCTGGTCAGCTGTGACTGTGCAGTCAGCTGCCAACTTCTCTGCCCCTCCTCGCCCATGTACGTATCTCACATGATGAATCTGAACTTTCAAGCTGGGAATGCTGCCTGGTGAGAAAGCTGAGCCCCTTCTACACACTGTGTGTGCTGACTTGGTGAGATCAGGGTGGAGATTATGAAGGAGTGATGTGTGTTTGTGTGTGTGTGCCAGCTTGATGAGCTGTGATCTTTGGACTGCAACCTCCCCGTTTCTTTTCCAGTGCCTTTCTGTTTGTGCTGTTTAGAAACTACCATCACAGAGCTGGTTATTAAGGCTATGCTATTGCACACAGCAGAAGCAAATGGGAAAACATTCTGCTCAATACAAATTACTCAATATGAATGTTATTGTTTCATTCTTTCTCAATGAACCATTTATCCTTCAACTCTGGCTTGAGTTGAAAGGCATTTATCTGAAACCCCTTCAGTGCCTTGCATAGAATTGTTCTGTTCCATTTGTTTTATGCATTTTTACACCGCCTTTCCATAACAATTGCAGTGCACAACATTGTTATTTTCCCAGAGTAACAGGTTTACATCCTGGGCTAAAGACTCAGTCATAAAATGTATGACTCGGCCTCTTGGATTTTGATTTGCAAAACTAATGAGCCAGATACTGCTAGGAAGCTCCCAAAGCAGGCGTGATGGTAGGTCATTTGTCCTCCAGTGCATGGTATTCACAGGTCAATTACCCCTGAACGTGGATGTTATATTTAGCTGTTATGGTTCACAGCTTATCAGCCCCTTGCCCCACCATTTTGCAGTGGGCAATGTTGTGATCTTTGCCTGCTCAAAGAGTTTTTGAAGTTTCCACATGGCCTCATCTCTTGCTTCCTGGATGCCCTGCTCAGTTTGTGCAATTAATTCTGTCTTCACTCTGAAATGCTCAAAGAAGTATGTATGCCAGCCTCCCTTAGCCTGATGCCCTCTGGACTGCAACTCCCATTAGCCCCAGTCAGCATTAGGCAGTGCTGAAGAATCCAGAGAGTTGTAGTGAGAAACATCGGGAGGGCACCAGGGTGAGGTATGCTGGCTTACACGCTAATGCTATGTCCCGTCTGAAGGCTGACTTCCATGGAGTAACTAAGCAACTAAGCATCCTACAAGAGAACATGTTTTGTCCCAACTCTCATTCTGACATTGGTCAACCTAAATTGTGGAGCAGGATCTTTGGATACTTATGTGCGCATGTGCAAGACTATATGTATACATATATATTATCTATCAGTAATATTCTCTACACCAGTTCAATGTACCTCTGATCATTATTGTGTGACTAGATGATGTTTTGTTGTGCTTTGTTAAATGTATATTTTTTTAAAACACAAAAGCCAGCATCTTGGCATTCTGACACAATGCAGCAACAGCAGCTAGTTTGGTAAACAAAGGTCTTCTTTTAAACTGCTAGAATAGGCATGTGTCCTAATTTCCATTGACATAATGCAGCTTTCTTTATACCTTCTCCAAAGCAGCTGATAAAAATCTGTTTTCAGAGTTGTGGGCCCCTCTTAAACAGGATAGTGTAAAGTGCCAGGAACTGTTACTCAATGAAAGCTCAAGATACCCCCTTGCTGGTAAATAAGAAAGGGCTGATTTGGTAACTCCAGGTGGAAGTATTTCTCAACCTGTAAATAGGATTCAATTACTAAACGGGGGAGATTTTCCTGTGGCACAGAGGCATTGGTTTGCTCCAGCCTAGGGAGATGGAGAGCAGAAGCTTTGTGCATACAGTCAAAGAGGCACCTTACGAATTTCTGTTTCTGAACTTCCTTTCTGCACACCACCTTCTTCATAAGTGTTCAGGTCTAGTTAAGGAAGATTATAGAAGATGTATTTAGCGCTCAGGTCCTTCATGTCATATTGTAGCAAGTAGGACTCCTAATGATCCAGGAGACAAAAGATGTTAATCTTCATAGGTTCATTTTTTAAAAAACAAAATCAAGCCAGGCCATAACATAGCAAATGAATCATGGGGGAATTAATCATCTTACAAGTTTGGGGGTACATTAAGGTGCAGCAGAACTTCTTAAGTTTGGCTATTTTATATATAGGAAGCACACTGGTGAGTTTGCTAAGTACTTTGGGGATAAAGTTGCTCAGATCCATTGTGGATTGGACTGTACATTGGATATGGTCTTGGAGGTGGAGTTGTCCAGTGCACCATCTTGTTCTGTTTCTCTGGATGAGTTTTGATCGTTGCAGCCTGAAGGTATGGACAAAGTGCTTGGAAGGGTCTGTTCAACCACCTGTGTCCTTGACACTTGCCCTTCATTGGTCATTAAACAAATCAGGGAAGGAATGTGCCTCTGGATCTTGGAAACTCTCAACACCTCTCTGAAGGAGGGAATGATCAGACCTCTTCTGAAGAAGGCACACCTTGATTTGGGGGGATGTTGGTAACTTGAGTGGTGGCCAATTTCATTTTTTGGACAAGTTACTCAAACTGTTTTAAACTGTTGATCATTATTGATTGACCCATTTTTATTTAGATTTTTTCTTTTTTAATGACCCTGTGCAGCAGGTTCAGTTACAGTTATGGTTACAGTTATGGTTATGGTGATGGTTGTTGTTTTGACTGTGCTATGACTATAGCTGTTACAAGTATTATTTTATTTTGAGTAAATAATTATTACTCTTGCTTTTTGTTTATCATAATTTAGTATACATTTATTTTTGTTGATTTATTATTAAATTTATTTATAAACATTTTAGCATTGTAAGCCACCCAGAGAACCTTTGGGTTATGAGGTGGCATAGAAATGGACTTAAACAATGCATGCATAATATTATTTTTGCTATTATAGTACTTAGTCAACATGTTATATTTATTGGCGAAGGTGATGAGATGATGGATTATGTTGGAGGGGTCCCTGGGTACATTCTCTGCGGCCTGTGCTAATGTTTTTGTGTTTTTATGTTGTAAATCATTCAAAAAGCTCATGATATGTGGACTGTATATAAAACTTGTTAAATAAATAATTAAAGTGTGTACTATTTGAGTTTGTGGAATGGCCCCATTGGATACTATAGAACAGTGTGAAAATTAACCCTTTTAACCATCCAAAAATAGGAACATAATGATGCAGACAGCAGTCTACCCTTACAACTTGGTATTATCCAGATATTCCGGATTGCAACTCTCATTAGCCAGAATGGAGAATGGTCAGGACTGTTGGGAACTGTAGTTCTAACAGTTGGACTTTCCTGGGCTGCAGGAAGCTGCCTATGGTTGAAAGAACCGCATTAAGCAGTTATGAACATAGACAGTATTACAACCTTGGCCAGAACACCAACAATTTTTAACCAGGATTGCCAACTTTGTTCCCTTTCATGCTCCGGTGTCTTTCACGGTGCATGGCAGGAAACAACCCATCAGGGGACCAGCTCCCCATCATTGCAACTGCATGCTGTGGAGCATGCTAGGAACCTGGCTGAATTTCTTCTCATTTCCCAGCAGCTAAAAATACAGTAACCCTCCCAGGAAAATTGCTGGGAACCCTATAAATAATATGGTTTCCTTATATTCTAGCTGTAGGGCAATAAAGAATGTCAATGTACTTGCTTTTCAAAGAACAGTATTGTTATTATCAGCTGCTTAATACCCTAATAAATAGATGCCTGCACAATAAAGTGTGTAATGGAAATCAATATTGCATACTCCAGTTCTGACACCCTCGTGAGAGTCCTCTCAAACTTGTTTCAATAATCCCGGAGATTGAAAGTGTGCGCACTGCTTCATCTTTCATCTGTTGGATCAATGCTTTGCAGTGGCCAGTTCTAAGAGCCTGATTCATCATGAAATACTTTCTGGATAATCACAAAATTCCCTTGCTGCCATCTCTGTCAATGCAGCACCAAACCAGTAGTTTGGGCTGCGGATCAGATGGAGCACATTGCCTCCACCTGCACAGTAAAGATTTTCTTCCTTCACTAGCAGATTTAAGACGTCTATAAATCTTTTAAGCAGTCTCCTGTTTTGTTTTTTTAAATATTGTTAGGGTCCCCTTGGTGCATAGCTGTAGCTTCGTGCAAACTGCTTCTCTATGGCATTACGATATGTGACCATGGAATGTGTACAAATATCTGTTACGCAGCTGAGTGTGATTGCACATGTGAGTTCTGTAGCTGCATTATAATTTAATATGTCTTTACTGATCTTCAATAGAAATTTCCAAGGTAATTTTCATAGTAAGAAAGTACAAAACAGTTAAGATGCAGATAAAATAATCTGGAGCAACCCCAAGACACAATGGCTTGGTCCAGGCAATCATATCTAGCCATGTTAAGCTGTGATATGCCTGAGCTTTCTGCCTGCACGTGCCACCTTTACGCCTCTCTGTGTAGCATGCTGAAATCAGACCCCAAAATATCTAATGAACTGTGGTTTTCCAATGTAGTCCAAAGAGGGAAATTTAGGAACGGACTTTGGAACGAATCAAGACCTTAAGTCACAGTCCAAAGTTTTACATTCCTGGCATGTCGTGAAATTGAGAGAGTTTTGCAGTTATGGGAAACTCTGGATTTTACCCAATGTTAGTCCGACTTAAGAGCAACTCATTTGGAATGAATGGGGCTTCAGTTAGACTGACATTGGATGCAACTTTCTGGCTTATTAGAGATTGCCTGAGGTTACTGCTGATCTTCATGCATGGGTTACATGTGCAAGCAAAAGGCACGTGCTCATCTCAATCTTCCAGCGTGCTCCTGGGTACAGCCAAAGACTAAATGCAAAGTCTTAATGTAAACATGAAAGAATGGCTCTCAAAGTATAGTAGTGTGTATTGCTGGTATTACCACTTATATGTTGCTCTGCGCAACAGTGGGCCTTTTGGTAGGCAAAAAGTTGCATTTCTATATTTGTCCCCCGCATCTTCCCATCACAGTTTCTGCATACCACCAGTTAACATCAAAATGATAGCATTCCTCCAGAATCGCCAGGTGTTTCTTCTTTAACAGGGGTTAAAGTGGGGTAGGCAAACTCTTGGACCCAGGAGAACATTTGGAAATTAGAGAATTCTTTGTGGACAAAGCTAGAAAATGGCAGCCAGGCACACGGTTAGTCACAAAGGACATGGAAGCTGCTTAGTGGCATTAATGGGAAATTAAGATGGCAGCAGCTGGGGGCTACCACTCTGCCTTGAAGCAATCCTCTCTGCCAGTAAGAAAACATGGAAATGCTTTAAAAAGTAAAAATTAGGAAGAGCCAGATGTCTCAGAGGGCACCATGAGAGATATTTGGGTGTGCCTGTGAGCACTGCATTGCCTCCCATCTTAAGGCATAACTTGTATTTTCAACGGCACATCCTTTCCTCAGTACATACTTTCTCTTCTCTGTATTGAGTAAAAATACACACTTTTGGCTTACACGGTCTACTAATTTGCCTTAAGATTATTGCTTGATCAAAAGTTGAAATGTGAATGGGCCTTTATGTCAAAAATATCGCTTCAATGCTGTTAAAATTGGGTTGCCATAAGTCGGAGACAACTTGATGGCGCATAACAACAACAAATAGTTAAAATTATCCAGAGTTTTATTAATTTATTATTATGTATTATTGAGCTTATGTACTGCACTAATAGTCTCATAGGACTCTCTAGGCAATTTACAACATACCAAATAACCACAAGGAAATAACAAAATAAAAATCACACTATACCAATAAAATGGCAACTATAAACAACAGTAATGTACTGCAATATAGCAACTATAAAACAACAATATACAGCTGAGAGTTAAAGCATGATAAATTAAAACATAAGTTAAAATCCTGTAACTACATACAATTAATTTCTTTAAAATCACACACAATAAAATCAATTATTAAAAAGTCTGGAAAATAAGGGTATTGTTATGAAGACGGAAGCCACCTTGGGTTTACAAGAAGAAAATTATAGGATATAAATGCAATGTAATATGATGATGATGATGATGATGATGATGATGATGGTATAGAGGTAAAACCCCAGCAATTCTTGCACTAGAAATATGTAATTAATCTAACACTATGTGTTATCAGCTAACCACTAGATGCCACCAGTGATCCATTAATATAATTCAGCTAAGCTGGGTTTTGTACAGAGAAGTGACAGCTTGCATAACAATTCCTGCAGATGTAATCACTGCGGTGGATAGCATCTCCTGGGTTTACTTCAGATTATCACTTTATTTAGTCAGTATCAGAGTTGGCTCCAAAGCTTAAAGCTGAATATGGCAACATCTTTTCCCTCAGGAAATAAGAGCAGTTAAAAAGAAATCAACAAGTGAGGTTTAAATCAACTTTTTTCTCCAGTAAAGCGAAAGCTGCCTGTGCAATATGCGATGTAATTAGTGATGAATTCTTCTAACTTCTGAGGAGTTAATCCATTCTCACTGCATTCAAATCTCAAACAAATCCAGCAATTTGAGTCCAATTTAAATTATTTCTCCCATATCTGATGTTGAGAGCGGAGTGCCAGTGCTCAGATCGTCAAAATGACTCCATTCATGTTTCTGATGAGGGAAAGTATCATTAGGATCAAGGAAATGTCAAGGTTTGCAGGAATACAAAATAATCCTTAGATAGAAACTGTTCTTGGCAATGCCAAAATAGCCCATGAGGACTGAGCATACTTATTGGCTACAGCATATGGCTTGACTGGGAGGAAGAAATGAGAAACTAGGAATGGAGCTGATTGTGGATGAAGGCAGAGTTGCTGGCCAGAACTGTGAATGGGAGCAGTCCACACTGCAACATTTTGCTGCAGGGCTCAAGTCAGAAGTCTCCAATTCTGTTTCATGTCTAGTTTGAGATATTGCAGCTCAGTGACTTTGGAAATAAAGCAAAGCCAAAAAACATGGCCAGCATTTTAAAGTTTGCATATCCATATAATCATTCTCAAACAATTTGAAGAGGAGGAGGAAGAAGAGTTATCTGCGCAGACTGGCTGCGAGCCCTGCATCAGATGCCTGAAACCACAAATAACAGCAAGCACTATACAATAGCAAGCAAACACCTGCAGGTGGCAAGCTACAAAATAAGCTCAAATAAACTATACACTCAAAATGAACTCAAACTATATATATTCCTTTCCCTCCAGTTTTGTTAATTCCTGCGTCAGTGCTTTAAGACTTCCTTTGCCACTTTACGGCACTTTAAGTCCTCTTTTTTGGGCCGAGGTCAACCGCAGTCAACTGAAAATGCAGTAACCGAGCCAGCAGATACAGGAGTCTTGCTGCATTTGCCCAACTGCTTTTCCTTTTGCAGCAGAGCAAAGCTGTTTAGAAGATCCCATGTACTCTCTAAATTAAAAACAAAAAACAAACTTGCTGAATTTGAGCTTCAGACCATAGCTTAGGACTTAAGGAGGTACGCATGCTTTGAAATGTGAAAGGAACCCACGGGGGCGGGGGGGAGATTAGCACTCCTCCCAAGCTGATGTCCGAGATGAGTCCTGGACTGGGATTGGAAAGAGTGGTGCCTCCATCTCATGATGTCTGTGCTATCAAAAGCCAGAGGATGATCCAAATCTAGCTTGCAACTTGATTTTAAATACTCGCCCTTCTTCTTTATAAAGGCCAAGATTAAATAAGCATAATTATCGATCTGTCTGTGCCTTGGCCCAAAGCCAGATGGTCAGTTAATTTGGCTCACATGGACAGGGGCAAAGCAGTGGCTGATACTATGTTCAGTGCTCTGCTGTGCTTGTTTGTTCTGCCAGTTGCTGCAACGGCATGGTCTGGGTTTTCACGGCATGGAGAGAACCATCTCTTTAAATGGTGTGCCTGGCCTTCATCCCTAGAGGCCTAAATCATCTTTCTTTCCAGCAGGGTCAAGGAGAAATGATGTCTGAATGAAATTCTGGCCATATTGCAACTAGCACTTTTATGAAATTCAAAGTGTGAAGGATTTCATCGTCTTAAGTTTTCTTGATGAAGAGACAATTGAAGCCTAAATTAAATATATTTAATTTTCTGATGTGCCTCAAGTTCTGTAAACATGGAGCTACAATGT